GTATTCTGTATTTGAATTTCCACTCCACCTACAACATTTAAGTTTTTCCCTGCAGCTTGCTTTTTGAACTTTTTTCTCATAGCTTCAGCCTTAAAAATGTTTTCTTTTCCTTTCTTTGGATTACCACTGTGTGGAGAAAATAGTAATATGTTTTGGTGCTTCCCTGAAACAGCATCAACTTTGGTGCTCTCTCATGTAAGAGCACAGCATTCCAATTGCACTCCTAATCAGCCAACTTGCATCTTCCCCCCCCCCCCCCCCCCCCCCCACTTTTTTTTAAAGGAAAACAAATAGAACAAGGAGATGGGGTTGGTCTGTGTGCCAGAGCCAGTGTAGAGCAACTTTGTGCAGTTGCCTCCTACCTCGTTAACAATCATTTTATCAAGGAAGAGGGCACCAAGTTGGTCACTGCTTGCTGCCAGCCTGACAGAGAGGTTGGTTCCAGGGAGTACCTGGAGCTCTCATCTCACCTGTCCCCAATGAACTTTTTGGGGTTAATCCAAAAGCTTCTGTAGCATTTTCTCAAGCCACGCAGGCTTTCTAAACTCTGCGCTCCCTCTACATTTATTTAAAAGCTGTCTGAACCATTCATCTTAGCTTTTCAGGTTCCTTAATTGATGCTTACAGAGTACAGAATTTTTAAGCAGTCAACCATTTTTGATCCTCCACAGGACTGAAGTACTCTTGCCCAAACAAAGTATAGTAGAACAGTAGCCTTATCTGCAGCTATCAAACAATAAAAAGTCATCCTTAGAAAGCAGTTAAAGGAATCTAACAGTGGTACCAATATGGGCAGGGCGATGGTTTTATTTCAACCATTTTTCCTGACAATAATTCCAATCATGCTTTATCAAAATGCTCAGCCGATGCATTTGGTAAGAGATGTACCTAATGGGGCGTAAAGAGCACCGCAAACAATAGCAGTGCTCCGCTTTGGCAGAACAAAGCGGTACCGAATCCACCCTAGGCATCCAAGCAAAAGCATTCAAAGTTGCACTCCATAACAACAAAATACTAAACTCTCATCAGTTTTTACTGTTCTGAGGGTGAAACCACTTGCTTTTCGTTTGCAGCTCTAGGTTGCTCCTGAACGATATTAATGCAGGTAAATGTCTAATCTCCATGGCCTGGCTTTGGCTACAAGATCTCCCCCAGAATCCTGTGCAAAATCTGTGTAAGAAAGTGACTTGTAGGCTTCATGTTTCCCACACGGGGTTTGTGTGCTGCCGTGGTGTTCTGTCATCGCCTTTCCTCTGCAGAGGCTTCAAAGTATGAAATGCTGAGTGCGAGGGCTGCCATTCTGCAGCACTGAGCGATGGTTGTTACACCAAATGTCGCCAGTTGTCCTCTCCACACCCAGCTCTTCCAGTCTCATGTATGGAGTATGTGTGTGAGAGTAAGATGTGTTGCACAGTTGGAATTTTTGATTAAATAAAGAATTAAGGAAGGCGAATTTCCTAATGACTCTGTGTGTGCATGTGTATGTACTGGGTATGCAGCTGCCTTAGGCTCTTGAACCGGAGCCTTGGTTTTCCCTTGGTGGTGTCTGCAGGGGTGCACGCGTACACAGAGTCTTCTGAATACAATGAGGGTGGTATTGAAAATAATACAAAAGTCAGGTATTTGCCCCTCTGTATTTTTTTTTTTTTTCCAACTTCTAAGTACTTGGCCATGCATCAGAGCAGCCTTAACCCTTACTATTTAATCATCCAGTCCACTCTTACTTGCGCACTTAGCCAATTGTACTTACTTGCGTGGGGCCTGATGGCCTCTTAAATTCTGTGAAACGCATTTGTTGTCTTCCAAGAAGCAATAAACAGGATCGAAGCTTCTGTCTAATAGAGGTCCTTCTCCCTTTTTCGATTATCATGAAGATGTTTGTCTTGCTTTGAGAAAGGACATCTCACAGGACAGTTTAACATCTGCTGAGGCTTCAGAGGTATGGGCTCAACACTGGATAAAAGTCACAGGATTCATCTCACCCAATACGGGGTATCTGTAACGAAGTTCGTACATAAATTACTGTCTGCAGCCCTATTCAGAGGAGGGAAACGGGCGTGTCTGGATGATGGCAGATTCTGTCATAAGGAAGTGTGTGAGAACATCTGAGCTGGTGCTGGTAGACAAGAAATTGGTAGTACCTCAGGGTGGTGCTCGGGATGGCGTTTGCTGGGGGCAGTTCAATGGCTCACTCAACAGCCTCAGCAGTTGTACTGTACTGCAGCTAATTGGAAACGCTTTGATTTCACGGAATCTTTTTTTTTTTTTTTTCCCCTACTCCTAGAATCAACCAATAAAAAAAAACCCTTTCTCTAAAAGTCAGACAGGTCCCCCTGCTGCCTCACCCTGCCACTTCTGAAGGAGATTTCACTAACTCTTGAGGCGTTTCGCATAGACAGGTGATTTCCCTGCTATTTAATCCTCATTCAAAGGCGCAATTCAGCAGATGCTTTTATTTCCAGAGGCTGTAAGCTACCTCCGTCGAGACCTCCTTTTGTCATCAAGTTAGATTTCTCTCGGATTTACGTTAGCCCTAGACTAAATTACTATTAATGCACTGCACTCACTGTTAACAGGTGTAACACCAAGTTTGTGCCTCTTTGCCCCTACTGAATTAAATTTCCTCTTTCACCGCAGCCTCATTCCGGAGACCTTACCCACTGCTATAGCCCTAGAAGCCATAAATTTGGTTTGCTTTTAGTTCAGGAAAAGGTTTCTTCCGCATCTTTTCTGACTTGAGAGAGATGAGGAATGGAGACCCATTCAGAACGTGAGAAAGCCGTGTGTTTCATAGCTTTGAATACCAAATGCTACGCTCAGTAACAGCATGGTTATTGCAGTAGAAATCTAGATTTTTGTCTCTTGAGTTTTAGAACTTTTCTGTATTGGAGTATTTGCTTTTGAAAGGTGCGGCGTCTCGTTCCTTCATGTCCCTTGAGGCCCAAATGTTTGGTCTTTACATTTGTTACGTGTTCACAGATTTTGCTTGCAGAATTGACTCTGATCTTTCTAGTTACATGATAGAGAAGAAACCAAACAGCCTCTCAGCTTGGGAATTGCAGCCTGGGATGAAGATCTTCAAGTGTTCTTGCAAGGCTGGAGTTAGTGTGCAATTCGCCCCCTCGGTGTGGAGACAAGAAATGGCAATTTCCACTCCGAGGAGCCTGTTACTACAGCCTCTGTCAGATCTGTTCCTGTCATTCCAGTTCAGACCAGTGATGTAATTTTCTCCGTATGTTTTCAAGAAGGTACGGTAGGACCTAGTACGGTCAAGTCAGTTTTGATTTTTATGATTTTGCTTTCTCACTCAAGAGGCTGCCCGTGACCTCGCTTCAG